TATAACTAAATAAATAATTCTAATTGATTCTACAACTCAACAACTATTATACTATTATATATATAAATAGCGACAAATATCGAATATATATAGAAATTTTTCTACTTTATATTATTATTCCAATTTATTAGGATCTAAATACAGTATAATAAGAAAATGATGCTTTTAAAATCTGGAAAAAAAATTTAATCAGCGTTATTTGATTAAAAATTAGTTTCTTTAAAATATTTATTTAATTTTACAGAAGAAAAAAATAAATAAATAACAATTTACCTGTACAAAACTATCTAAATTCAAAATAATCAATCCCCCTCCTGTCAGTTTTGGAGAAGTCAAGCATTTTCGAAGTACCACGACATACAATGATTGTATTTTTGATGAACCGTTGTACCAATGTGCTTCGTATCTATATACATGTGCACAATATAGTGAATTTATTTTTGAAATTTTATTGTACAATAAGTAAAATTTGTTTCATTTATGAAAAGAATTATTTGTGTAATTATATCAAATGCAATATCAAATTGAAAATAATTAATGATTGAATAATTAATGATATGCAAAGTATTATGTTATATCATAAGCAAAAACAATTAAAAAATAGAATTTTCCTATAATATAAACATTAAATCAAACAATATCTTAAAACATTAATTTTGAGATATCTCAGTTTTTTATTATTATTATTCTTTTCTTAACTTACTTCAAATTTCTTTCCTAGCTTTGATAAATGGATACATACAATATTCTTACATTGTTTTAAAAATTTCTTCGTTGGCATTTATAAGAAATTGTCCCATAATCGTTAGGAAAAACAGATGAGTTAGTTGAGCAACAGTGTATGCACAGAACGTGAAAAATCTAATCCCCATTTCCATGGTCGACAGCTTTAAAAAATTTAAAAAATAATATCAAATGTTAAAATCATAATATTGATATATCATTGAAAGATTTAGAATTCTAAAAAATCAATAAAACAATAAAAACATTTGCAAATAAAAATATGGCTTGTTTATTAAATTATAATTACAATAATGTATAATCTAAAAGTAAATTATTAATTTTTAAAAAATTAAAACTGAAAATTAAAATTATAATTTAATAAATATATTCAAATCAATATATCTGTATATCAACTTTTGTGTTTGTTTTGATTTCTAGAATTGACAAAAATGTTTCACGACACTTTTACATGCAATATAATATATATTAATGTTCTACATACATTAGATTATATAGCAAATGAGTTTTAACGAACGATATATAACTTACCTTCACGAAAGTACCAGTGAAAGCTAATACTATCATTCCTATGGTAAGTAAGAAGTAATATATGTGGCAGGCGTCTATTTTATCCACGTATCTAGCATGTCGTTGTAATAAAAAGTATATAAAAGAATTGATATGCACGACACTTACATACATATTACTAATTATATACAACAATACTAACTCAACGGCTGTTTTGTGGGCTTTTATGGAATGTTTGACTCTCGTATAAGTTTCATCCATTAGCGTGATATAATTTTCGTCGTAAATCTTTACGTCATCCACTGCATGCTTGAAACGATACCTGATAATATTCATTAATTACATTAAAAATTTTAATCAAATATAATTTTAATCTAAATCGTACAGAGAAATTAACGATGGAAAATAAATTGGAAGACATAAGGGATTAACAACAAATACTTACCCACTGATAGCTAACAAGGCGCATCCATGATGCACAACTTGTACCAAATTCGTATCACAGGCTAGATATATCGAAGACAGTACCAATATTGCTACTATCATATGCATTAATATGGGATAATAATACTTCTCCTCGTCTACGAAATAATAGGTTGGATAGATAAATTCACGGTCTCGTGATACGTTCAAAGGCGCTATGATGTTCAGAATAGGCGGTATTGTCGGTATGACGAGGAACATGAACGCGCAGGAATATACCATAGCTAAATTCAAAGAAGATTAAATGTAGTATAAAAAAAAAAAAAAATAAATAGAGATGGACGAGAAATATAGGAAAGAGCGAGGAAATCTTCTACGTATTCTCAAAACGAAGTATTTAAAAATCATTGTCATTGTTTTATGATATCAGTTTTTGTAATACGAGAAATTCTATTTTTCTTGATCACCTTTGTAAAGAATGCACAGCGTTGTTGCTTTTCTCGAATACAATTCCAAAATCTCCAATTCCTTCTTCGATCGTTTTATCAACCGATCGGATATGATGTCATTTAGAAGTTCTCTGAGCTGCAATTTTAATAACACTGATTATTAATATTAATCATAAAGAATAAACAAAATTGTAGATTTTTCACTTTATTCTCATTCAAAACATAGTTATATTCCTTGAATAAGCAAATAATTGCTGCGTTCAAATATGGTATTTGATCCGAAAAGACTTCGAAGCTGTAGAACATTATTACCCGTGATATCTGTATAAATAATAATAATAATATAAATAATTTATTACTTCATATCAATTCTTTTTCTAAATAAAATGAGTCTAATATAAAACCTGCGTTGCAAGGTCAAGAAGCATTATGACGGATACAGTAAATCGCATGCAAGTCTTGGTAAATCTTTCTTGAAAAGGCCATACACCAACTAATTGCCCAAAAAATTTATTGATTTTCAGATATTGATTCATTATTGTTTCCTTGTCCATCTTGTAAACAGTAATAATACTTTATCACGGAATGGTTAAAAGAAATACAAGT